TCCTCACCTGGACATCAAATTTGGAGGTTTGACAAGGAGATTGTTGTAGGCAAATGATACAGAGTGTGGGGAAATTGGTTGCCTCTTATTGGCTATTTAAATTAAACTGCAGAAAACTTTTTTTTAATACCACAGAGGGCATAGCTTCAGAGTAACAGGTGCCAACTCAAGACTGACATGGAGGAATTTCTCTTCTCACATGGTCGACAGTCTTCATAACTCTTTGCTATAGACAGCTATAGATTAAGAATCCTTCTGTATATTTAAGGCCGAGATACATAGATTGATCAATTGGGGAAATCAGGGGCACAGGGAGGCATCAGTAAAGTGGACGTGTGGAATGTTAGATCAGTCATGATACTATTGAATGGCGGAGCAGGCTCAAAGGGCTGAACTGCCTACTACTGCTCACATTTCTTAAGATATTATTTAATGTTGAAGTATCAAAATGTGTACATTTGACAAAACAGTTGAAGGTGTTGCCCCTTAGAAAAATTAGACGTGGAAGTTCATCTGAAAGCCAGAAAGAGACTAATTGAGAAACACGCAGTCAAATACCTACCAGTGGAAACTGAAGGCCATGAAATAGATTAATGTTTAAAAAACCAGGATTGGAACTGGAAATGAAAAAAAATCCCAGGAATTCGATAAAAATTAGTTTCCAACTTCTAAGCATGCATTGTGAATACATCACAAAACAAATCTAACTTAATTTCAATTCAAAGTATGGGTCATATTTATCAAAAAGCTGGGCCAAATGTCCAAGTAGTTGGGTCGTCATACAAATGCACATTGAGAAGCTTCAATAGTAGATGACCAATCTGTGGGCCTATTCGTGGAGACATGACACCTGTAATTCTTGCACTAAAGGTCAGTGTAGGGATTTTTGGTTTGAGAATTCTAGAGCATTCAGTAAAACCCGAACAGTTTTAAATTGGCATCTTCTTTCTAAAGAAATAGAAGAAACTATACCATGCCAAATCTAAAGCTCTTGAAGAAACACTTAATCAAATGAAATCGGAGAATGACTCTAAGCTGTACCCAAATCCATGGCAGATACTGTGCTCTGGCATATCTTTAAACAGAGCTTCAGGTATCCCTGTTTAATTTTTTTGGTAGTAAAGTTATCAAAATACATAACTATGTTGTCTAACCCATCAAGGAACACAAAAATATAGGAGAGGAGAGTGAATGTGTTCAGATTGACTGGTGAATGCTCATGATACATCTCTGTAAAAACCATCTTTTCTTGAACTGTGGAGTTAAAATTAGAAACTAAACTGCTTCCAGCAATCAGACTGTAAGATGAAGTTTGCAGGTTCAACAAGAAGGTACTGAAGCACACTATGATTTGCATATACAATGTCTCATTGGACTCGTGATGGCACCATCCAGACAATTCAGCACTTGTGTTTCTGCGCAAATTTCCCCGAACTGTTTTGATTGGCTTCTGAATACACAACCCATGATGGGCTCATAAGATCTCAGCGTACTGACTACATTGTTTAGTTGAAGCTAGTCCAGAGATCCTGTGGAGGGAAAATGAAAACAGAAGACCGAAGTCCCAGAAGTTTGCAGCATCAACACTGATGTTCCGTGCACTGAAAAATACCCCTCTTTACAAGAGCAAGAAAAATTAGTTGCTGAAAGGAAGAACACTAAAGCCCATAGGAAAAGAATGACCTCTCGGTCTGGCCAAAGAACCAGCAATCTAAAGGATGAGTATTCTTATGAAATAGCATTGAGGCATCGTTGAAGAGAGAAAAATGACTGATGTATCAATCTACCAGGCTTTGAGATTTTGCATTGTGATAGACAACTGTACTACTCTGACTACTGGATTTTATACTCTGTGTCTGAGTGCATATGCTAATGGGTGTTTTTAACAGGGGTAAAGTTTAAGTAAGTTAGAAATCCTGCCCTTCTGATATTCTGTAAAAGTTTACTTTTAGTTAAAGTTCAAGTAAGGTTCAACAATTCACCTAGCCTCTTTTCCCATTGACTTAAAACAGTTTCATTATAATAAGTGGTAATTTTCTTCATGAGAAACCTGGTGTCTATTTTCTTTCATGCCTGAATGGGACTGATAGAAGCTAATCAAATTTTCACATTTTGTCAACTCAGGGAATGGTGCATTTTGATTTTCAGCACACTATCTCCAGCGAGTTGTGACATGGCACAGGTGAAGCACAGACGATCCACCCCCAAAAATTGGAGCTTCAAGATGGTGGAGGAAGCACAGAAGCACACTGATTGGCCGACAGATATATCATCAAAAGAAACTCCAAGTTAAAAAAAACCACAGTAAAGCAGTAAAAGTTATGAAGTCTCTTTTTTCGATTTGTTCACACTTTACAATAAACCTGACCATGTACAGTAAAGAACATTCAGAAAAAACTCTTGAGTGTACCATCTCTGAACAAGTACACTATATCTATCGTGTTGTTCGTGCAGCCATGTTTTCATGCTGCACTACAAAATTGTGGAGCATCTTTATCACCTTTGCAGTTTCAACTTTGGAAAAAGACAGGAGGAGTTTGGCATTCATTGGCCTCATTGTATAAAGAGTGTGCTGCATATTTTCACTTCATGCCATATATTTCCACATTCTTTTATCAATTTCATTGTTTTTTTTAAGAGAGATGTGACTCTTAGAAGTTGCAGGGTATTACCATCCTTCGAGGGGGAGATCTTATGCTGTGGACCAACTCCATTTTGATTGGTTAGTATGGTTACATGACAAGTCTGCCTGTTTGTCTAATGCAGACTTACCATTCATTAACTTTGCTTATCACAGCATCTTTCTATTGTATTGGTTACCCTCTCTGCAAGAACAGCTGGAGTTTCAGATTATCCAGATTGGACTCATTGCAATTTAGATCAATAAAGACCTCAAGTAAACATCGGATAGGACTGCAATTTAAGCAGAGAAAATGATTACTCTTTCACCAAGTGGAAGGCAGGCAAAGCTCAATCTCAGTTTGGATTTCACATGGAAACAAGAATTCAAAAATCTGAGCTTACAGTTGATGGAAAAAATCTTTAGTCATCCTTACAGTCTTGTGGCAACAGAAAACAACCAGAAAATTAACTTTGAATATTGAGAAAATAACCAGAACAACGTTGCGGAGACATCCGCAAACATGAGATTGTATATCAAAGTTTGACCTCTGAGAATGGGTGGAAGTGAGAGGCATTCAAACAACATACGTTTGGGTGGTCCATATAGTAGCAAATAACTTAAGAGATTGTGCTTTTTAATGAAAAGTATTGGATGCGACAAGGACAACTGCATGGATGGCATACAATTGTAGGCTTGTGTTAAGACTGTTCAGTTTGTTTCTCTTTTTAATACAATGATATTTATGCTTTGTAGGAAACATAATCTTGTGGCATTTTTCTACTGATACTATTGGGAGGTGGGATTTCTTTTTTAAAAACATTAATTGGATTATAATCTAAACAAGGTTCTACTAACGAAGTTTAAAGCAAGACCTTCATCTTGATCAAGCAAATTTACCAACTTACATTGTTACTTAATAGATCTGTGGTATCAAAGCATTCTAAAGCACATTAGAATTGTGCAATCTTCAAAAATACTGACAAAAGTGACAGAACATTAGGACAAAATGGCTATAAAAGCCTGGTTAACAAAATACAATTTAAGCAGAGTGGAAAGGTTTGAGAGAATTACAAGGGCATGCAAAATTCAAGTTAATTCACTCAAGGGCAGGAACGTAGGGTGCCAGGATGAACCAGTAGTCAGAACTTCTGAGGGTGCAAAGTTCTCAGAGAGGCTTACTATGACTGGGAATGGAAAGGTCAGGAAAAACATGAAAGGATGAAAATTGTGAATTTGAAACATTCATGAAACAAACCAAAGTAGGTCAGTAATCACACAATGACAACATAACCAAGCTTGTTGAGAACTAGGCTAGACAACCAAAACATTCTAAGGAATCCGGCCAGCCATCAGGTTTGACTCCTGGACACAAACGACAGCAACCCCACATTACCTCCAACGTTGAACTTGTCCATTACTTCTGCTGCTGTAATCACACACACACACCCCAGATCTTTTTCTGAGAAGAACAGTTATCCTGGTGAACAGCTGTCATCACTTTTTGTACATTGGGACACAGGGTCCACAAGACAAAATTAGTAACTGCACAGAGGTATCCCTTGTTCTAGCCCCCAGTCCATCATCACACAAGTGAATTTCCTGAGAATACAATATATTTCCTAAGTTATATTAAACCTCCTCAAAGCCATACAGATATCAATTATGTTCCACTGAATTTTAAAGGCAGGCAACATTTTGGGGTATACAGCAATGATTAAATAAAAGCAAAATCTTTTCATCTTTTTAAACTGGTTAAAATTTCAAAACAACACTTTTTACAACAGAAAGCAACAAACATTGTCAAATCAAAGATATCAGCTGTATTTTATACTTGGAACACTCAATTCTAGCTCTGCTTCTCAGAGAAAGCTGCGTTACTTGAAAATTTCCACCTGTATTCTAGCTATGTTTAGAAACTTCTACCTTATCGAAAAGAAACCCTTCAATCCTTATGACATTTGAATTGAGTTCACAGAAGGAAACATCCTTTCTGTCCTACGGTCAAACCACAGGCACATTAAGAAATGTTTTCGTGATATGACCACTTAACCTACAGTCAAGACATAAAAGACAGAATGTGCTTGTCGAATGCGCAGCAAATGCAGGGAAACTTATAGTAATTCTGTTCATTCCGGAGCCTGGATGATTGGGAATATCCTGCCCAGGAGGAGGGCTCACTGACGGGGGGATCCGGGCCTACCCACACAGACACAGCCTCCACTACGGCGGAGGAGAATCAAGGAGTGAAGGGACTGCGGGGTCCCTTGAAACGGTCCGAGGATGGGAGGGAGGCAGGCCGGGGCCGCAAAAGCCCCCTACCCAACTCGCTCCGAGCGAGTGAGAGTGCAAACACACACAGCTCCCGACTTCCTCTCACCTTCATGGTGATCCCGATGAGGAGCAGGCGGCAACCGCCGCTACCTAAAGCCGGCTCCGTCACTCGGCCGCCGCAACAAACCCCAACATCAAAAGCCGCACCAACAGGAAATGACGACGACGACATCTACGGGGAGGGTGGGCGAAAACAAGCACAGTCCCGCCCCTGCACCCACCCTAACCAATCAGCATGCAGTGTTGTACTCAACCAGTCAGCACATGGCTTCCGCCCCAACCAGTCAACATAGCGATCCCCCCAATCCTAACCAATCAGTATACAGCGTGCAGGGCTGGATGAACACAGCAGGCCAAGCAGCATCATAGGAGCAGAGAGGCTGACGTTTCGGGCCTAGACCCTATACAGCGTCCTACTCAACCAATCAACATGCTGTTCCCTTCACACCGAATCGGCACGGAGCTCGCTAGGGAACCTGGCCAACCAATCAACATGCAAACATTCACAAAACAATTAATATGAAGGCCGAGATAACAAGGTGCAGGGCTGGATGAACACAGTAGGCCAAGCAGCATCATAGGAGCTGGAAGGCTGATGATTCGGGCCTAGACCCTTCTTCAGAATTGGGGAGAGGGGGTTCTGAAAATAAATAGGGAGAGACGGGGAGACGGGGAGGCGGATAGAAGATGGAGAGAGGAGAAGACAGGTCAAAGAGGTGGGGAGGTAGGGAGGAGATAGGTCAGTCCAGGGAAGATGGACAGGTCAAGGGGGTGGGATGAGGTTAGTAGGTAGGAGATGGGGGTGCGGCTTGAGGTGGGAGGAGGGGATAGGTGGGAGGAAGAACAGGTTAGAGAGGCTGGGATGAGCTGGACTGGTTTTGGGATGCAGTAGGGGGAGGGGAGATTTTTGAAGCTTGTGAAGTCCACATTGATACCATTGGGTTGCAGGGTTCCCAAGCGGATTATGAGGTGCTGTTCCTGCAACCTTTGGGTAGCATCGTTGTGGCACTGCAGGAGGCCCAGGATGGACATGTCGTCTGAGGAATGGGAGGGGGAGTTGAAATGGTTCGCGACTGGGAGGTGCAGTTGTTTAGTGCGAACTGAGAAAAGGTGCTCTGCCAAGCGGTCCCCAAATCTCCACTTGGTTTCCCCGATGTAGAGGAGGCCACAACGGGAACAGCGGATGCAGTATACCACATTAGCAGATGTGCAGGTGAACATCTGCTTGATGTGGAAAGTCTTCTTGGGGCCTGGGATAGGGGGGAGGTGTAGGGGCAGGTGTAGCACTTCCTGCGGTTGCAAGGAAAAGTGCCGGGTGAGGTGGGGCTGGAGGGGAGTGTGTAGCGGACAAGGGAGTCACGGAGAGAGTGGTCCCTGCGGAAAGCAGATAAGGGTGGGGAGGGAAAAATGTCTTTGGTGGTGGGGTCAGATTGCAGATGGCAGAAGTGTCGAAGGATGATGTGTTGGATCCGGTTGGTGGAGTGGTACGTGAGGACGAGGGGAATTCTGTTTTCGTTGTTGTTGCGGGGAGGGGATGTGAGGGATGAGTTGCGGGAAATGCGGGCGACACGGTCGAGGGCATTCTCGACCACTAAGGGGGGGGAAGGGGGGAAATGGCCTCTCAGCCAATTATAATGGACCTCCTTCCCAACAAATTAGCATGGATACCACAGCCTATCCAATCAGTATGCAGTCTCCCACCTGAATCAATCAGCACACAAGCCCCTCACTAACCAAGAGGCATCAGCCCCCTTCTTAATTTGTCATCATTCAGCTTCCTTCTCAACCAATCAACCAAGCTCCTCACCAACAATTCAGTCGTCAGATCCCTTCCCACCATCTAACCAACATGTATTCCCTCTACACAAAAACAGAAATTGCTGGAAAAGCTCAGCAGGTCTGGCAGCATCTGTGGAGAGAAATCAGAGTTAATGTTTCAGGTCTGGTGACCAGTCCTCAGAACTGATGGTAGCTAGAAAATGTTGGTTTATATGCAGAAGATATGGTGGGGGGAAGAGGCTAAGGAGTAAACGAAAGGTGGGGATAGAGCCCAAAGAGAGGAAACAGTTAGACAGACAATGGAGATCGCAAGACCTGCAGATGCTAGAATCAGAGATAACAAAAGTGTGGATCTGGAGGAACACAGCAGGCCAGGCAGCAGCAGAGGAGCAGGAAAGTTAATGTTTCAAGTCGAAACCCTTCTTCAGAAATGGCTTTGCAGTGGGGTTATAACTCACTCAGATAGCAAGAACTGCAGATACTAGAGTCAGAATAACAAAGTGTGGAGCTGGTGGAACACAGCAGGCCAGGCAGCATCAGAGGAGCAGGAAAGTTGACATTTCAGGTCCACGTTTCAGAAGAAGGGTCCCAACCCAAAACATCAGCTTTCCCACTCTGATGCTGCCGAGACAGACAATGAGTGGATAATGACCTGGCTAGGAAGGTGAACAGCTATTAATGGCTAACAATGGGTTGTATGTCATCGCAGACTGTATGATAACACGAGCTGGTATTTGGGGGTGGAGGCCCGAAGGTTATTGAGCTCGATATTGAGTCCGGAGGGCTGCAGGGCTCTCAAGTGGAAAATGAGATGTTGCTCTTCCAGCTTATGCTTAGCTCACTGGAACACCGCAGCCAGCCTGAGACAGAGATGTTGGCCAGGGAACAGGGTGGTGTGTTAAAGTGGCAGGCAACTAGAAGCTCAGGGTCTTTTTTTTGCAGGCAAAATGTAGATGTTCTGTGAAGCAGTCACCCAGTCTACGCTTCGATTCCCCAGTGTAGAGAAGACCACATTGTGAGCAGCGAATGCAATAGACTCGATTATGGAGAGTGCAGGTGAAGTGCCGCTTTGCCTGGAAGGTATGTTTGGGCCCTTGGATCCTGAGAAGGGAGGAGGTAAATGGGCAGGTGTAAACCTTCAGCAGGTGTAGGGTAAGATGCCGTGGGGTTGTGGGGGATGTTGGGAGTGAAGGAAGAGTGGATCAGGGTGTCCCAGAGGGAACGGTCCCTGTGGAAAGCAGCCAAGGGAGGGGATGGGAATATGTGTATAATGGTGGCATCTTGCTGGAGGTAGCAGAAATGGATATGGATGCTGGTGGGATGGTAGGTGAGAACAAGGGGAACCCTATCACTGTTGCAGGAGGGAAGAAAGGGGATGAGGGCGGAAGTGCAGGAGATGGGTCTGGCCCAGTTGAGGGCCCTGTCGACAATGTGGACCTTTCAGAGGCTCCCCAGTCAAAGTTGGCATCATCAGAACATATGCGACGGAGACAGAGCAACTGGGAGAATGGAATAGAGTCTTTAAAGGAAGCAGTGTGCTAGGATGTATAGTCCAGGTAACTGTGGGAGTCAGTGAGTTTATAGTGAATATTAGTGGCTGGTCTATCCCTAGAAATGGAAACAGAGATGTCGACGAAGGGAAAGGAGGAGTCAGAGATGGACCAGGTGAAAGTGAGGGCGGGGTGGAAATTAGAAGCGAATTCAATAAGCCTTTTCCAAACCCAGACGGGAGGGAAGCAGCGCCAATGCTATGATCAGTATATCAGAGAAAGAGTTGTGGATGGGGGCCAGAATAGGACTGGAACAAGGAATGTTCCACGTATCCCACGAAGAGACAGGCATAACTAGGGCCCATGCGGTTGCCCATGGCCACTCCTCTGACCTGAAGAAAATGACAGAACAGAGAAGTTGTTGAGGGTGACGAAGAGTTTGGCTAAGCGGAGGAGGGTGGTAGTGGATGGGGATGATTTAGGCCTTTGTTCCAGGAAGAAGCGGAGAGCCCTGAGACCATCCTGGTGGGGGATGGACATGTGAAGAGATTGCATGTCTATGGTAAAGAAGAGGCAGCTGAAGCCTACAAACTGAAAAAGCATCAGAGGAATCACAGATGTAAGTATGCAAGGACTGGACCAGGGGAGAAAAGACCTATTCAAGTTGGGAAGGGGTGAGTTCTGTGAGGCAGGAGCATGCAGAAAAAATGGGTCTGCCCAGGCTGTCTGAGGATTTTCAGAAGGAAGCGAGCTGTGAGGGTTTGGGATACTATCAGCTTGGAAGCATTGGGTGAAGGGGTAGAACTCCAGATGAAATGAGGTTATGACTGTAGTTGATACAATGGCTTGATGTTTCATGGTGGGGGGTCATTGTCTAGGGGAAATAGAAGGAGGTATCTGAGAGCTGGTGCTCAGCCTCTGCAAGGTAGAGATCAGTACGCCAGACAGCCATAGGACCACCCTTATCAGCAGGCTTAATAACAAAGTCATGGTTGGATCTGAGTGCACGAAGTGCAGTCAGTCCAGGGGGAATAGATTGGAATGTGTGAGGGGGGCAGACAAATTGAAGCAACCAATGTCACGTCGACAGTTCTCGATGAACATGTTGAGTACAGGTAGAAGGCCAGAGCAAGGGGTCCAGGTGGAGGGAGAGTGTTTGAGGTGGACGAAGGGTTCTATGGATCGGGGAAGGACTCTTGTCCAAAGAAATGGTCACGGTGGCGAAAGCGAAACTGATGGAAGAAGACTTCAATGTCATATCATGCCGAAAATTCATTAAGGTAGGGATGCAGAAGGATAAAACTGTGACCTTTGCTGAAGACAGGACTTTCAACAGAGGAGAGCGGAAGGTCAGAAGGGATAGTGAATACATGACAGGAGGTGGGGTTGGGGGAGGGGATGGAGTCAGAGGAAAGGGGAGGGGAGAAAGATTCCAGAGATCCATGAATATCTCTTGAGTTGTTGCATCTTGTATGCCTTGATGCCTGAAAGGAAAAGAAAAGGTTTCTTGTTAGCACGGCAAATGAGTCGGAGGATGAAGTGGAACTGCGGAGTGGTGCAGCCCTGAGCCAGCATGTTGCGACGCTGTTGGAGAGAAAGGTCGACAGTGTGCATGTGACACTGCATGGCCCTGAGTGTGGATCTCAGGATGTGGCGAGAGCAGCTCTCTGTGGAACGTTGAACATCACTGAGTTACCTGTGATCCTGGGTGGATTCAAAGCACGAGGGATGAAACTTGAGTTGGGATCCACGTGGGGTGAGACTGAGCTGGAGGCACTCACTGAGGAAGGTGACGTGGCTCTAGAAATGAGTTTTAGCAAATCCCTGGTCAGGAGTGATAGTGAAATTATTGTCAGGGGACAAGAGAAAAGATTGGAATGGAAATCCCGTTGGAG